CGGTACAGATTATATATGGCTACAGTTTCAATTTATGAATTTATTCATGTTGAACAGATGATACAATGATGACTTCAGATCATAGGCCTACATAAGACTTGTCTTAAAATTTTAAATTCTGATTCTGTGTCGGCTATGTAATAGTCATATGGGTAGTGTAATTAGGCCAAAAAAAAAAAAAAAAAATATTTGTTTGCCCTCCCCGTCCGCCCCTAACTCACTGAAAAAAAAGGTGGCGAAAAAACAAAAAAAAAACTTTATTTTTTAGCATTTTTTTACAAATAAAAAAAAAAAAATTTGACTAAATTTATCTTTATTTTTTGCCAGATGCCCTTCAAATTTGTCTAAAGTTTGTCTGATGCAAGTTATTACCATTCTAGGCTTCTGTGGGTTATATTTATTCCATCTGATGAGTATTTAAATAAGTAAAAGTAAATAAAAAAAACTTTTTCTACCCGCCCCTATTTATCATTTTTAAAAAAAGAAGGGCAAACAAACAATTTATTTTTTTTGGCCTGTACCTACTACTAAACCAGAACTGGCACTGCAGCCCTGTCTTTCTGGATTCTGTATAGCCTTGATTCTGGATATGAATCAAGAGCAATCAGGTAATATTCACAGTACATGGTTGAATCTTAATTGAAAATGTTGTGTCTCAAGTTACTCATGATGTTAATTGTTCTTAAATCGTGTCTCAATCGTCATGTATGCACCATTTTTACTTGGATAAGTTTAAACAACCAATACGTTGATAGCATCCTGTAAGCAATTAACTTGAGTATTTTTTTTGCAATATAACAATAAAATTAAATAGGTTTGTTTATATTCATTGTGAAGAGAACATTTTGTGAATAAAACCTATTAAAATTGAACCCTAAAAGTGGAAAAGACAGCCAAACCAGTCACACATCTAGATGTGTATAAGAGACAAGGGTTAAACAGTAAAATGAGAGAATAATTGAAATCAGACATTTCCTGATAAAGTTACAAGCATTTAAACATAGAGCTGTTTAAAGAATGATATTTGAGAAATCAGCCTTTAAAGTTTATGATTTTCGTCATTTCTCATCCAACGATTAACACTAAATCGTTAAAAATGGTTGTTTTAACATTGAAAATTGGGAAAATAACAGCATAGTATGATGTATATATATAAAGGTTAGTTTAGTGCAATAAAATAGATTTCAAAAATGTTGACATTCCATCATGTTTTGGCCATTATCTCTGAACATGAGTGACTGGTTTGGCTTGTCTTTGCCACAAATACTGCACAATATTGAGGGACCACATAGTAGTATCAGTATTTAAATTTTACCAAAGCCTTTGCCATTAAGGATGGCTTCTTCAAACAAATTTCTGAAATCTACTGGATCCTCCATCCCACGTGGCATGTGCAGTTCTAGAGTTCTAGAGCACATGTTGATGCTGTGGGATAGGCTCTAGCATCCGGATTTGGTGTAAAAAATTCGACATCGATGCTGTCTTCAAATCCCATTGGTGGGATGACATCAGCTCCACTGATGAATGCCAGGATGTCATTAAGGGAAGTTTTGTCTTTTGTCTTGCCATCTAAAATGAAGATAACATTTGTTCAATTTTGCATTAATAACAATTCACAGCATTTACTTAATTTACCTCCACCAACAGTGCTGGGCAGAGGCATCTTGAAAAAATGCATGACCTTGCGACAGGTGGAGGGAGGCAACATGAATGTCCTGGAGCCACTCTTTTGGGAAAAGAAAACTGTTGGTTGTGTGCAGGTAACATTTGGTACAGTAGGCCTATTAAAAAAAAATTACCTTCACAGTCCTTGAGAAAAATCTCCCAGCAAAAAATGGTGTCATCCTCCATTAATTTCAAATTGGATCCTTCTTCAGAATACCTAACCTTCATGATGCTTTTTAAAACATCCCTTGACATTGGTTTCTTTCCCACTGAGGTCAGTAAGGGCATCAAAGTATCCGGGAAGTCTTTAACTATGGTCCATAGGGCACCAAGCCCTTCAACAAACTGCTGTATCTCTGCCTGTGTCCTAAGTTTTTAAAATATAATAAAAATATATATATATATGCTAATGAATACTGTGAATGAACAATCATCAAAATAATGCAAAAGAAGAATCAGGGGTGAATGTCTTTCAATTTATGTAATTAATGTTTAATGAATCTGTACTGTCTTAATATCTCGACATCTAGGGTTACGAAAGGACAAGTAAGATACCAAGAATCAGTGTCAGAGACGGTAAATTTATGAAAATAGTCAGTGTTTCTTACAATGGCCATATCCAGCTATTGTGACATTTCAGACAGCACCACAAAATTTTTCTAATTGGTCCACAAATGTGTCCACATTTAAAAAAATGGTCCAAATTATGCAATTTTATGCATAAGATGGGTCCACTTTTTGAAAAATGGGTCGATATTTTTCATATTCAGCCAAAAATGGGAAAGTTTTTAATGAAATGAGTCCAGATTTTTCATATTTCTGTGTATAAAACGGATTAACTTTTACGAAAATGGGTCCACATTGTTTGAATTTAATAGTAAAGTGAGTCCACCCCGATGTATATCCCCACTGTTTGAAAATCCTGGCTATGGCATTGGTTAGTTAAAAAACAAAATCAGGATTACTACCTATATTTGTTTTACCATTTTAGTATCTAGTTTTTTACAGGCCCTGAACTGTTAAAAACAACAAGATATTGTGTGATGGTTTTAAACCACCCCAGTCCCAGTTAACCTAAATCAAAATCCCCAGCAAGGATAACACTGCACATTCATGTGTTGCCAACTAGCACAGAACATAATTCATGCAAGAATTGATTTTATCATCACATTCAACAAGATATGTCTATCAGTAGCAATATAAAACTCTCCGAGGATAATCCTAAAAAATATGGTGTACTGGTACTGGTACAAGCATTTAAAAGCCTATCTTCCCTTTGAGGTTATAAAGCGCAGTATTTTTCCCTGGTCATGGGGTCCATATGCTTTAAGTGTTCTGAAGGTAAAAGTCGAGGAGCAGACAACCCCACTAGGTACCTATTTAGACTCTGTGGAAAAAAGCGAGAGATAGTTCCTTGGAAGACACAAGCAAAATGCACGTCAGGGTCAGTGAGCGATTGAAACCCTCACCTCGAGTTTGGAAAACAAATGAAGAGCTTAAAGCAAGAGAGAACCAATCAAGAACCACCGGCAAAGAATAGATTAGAAGAAAAAAAATCAGGATGGATTGGACACACTTCGAGTAAGATACAAAATAGCAAGCCCTAAAAGGGAAAAGAAGTTACCGGTCAAAAAACACATGGAGGGGAGAAGTTTATAAGGATATTAACATAAAGAACAGTAGCCCAGAACCATACTAAAGACCCATAGATGATGATCTCTGGACAGGCTGACAAGGAAGGAAGGATTACTTATGATATGGAAATAACCTAATATTACTGTACTGCAAATTTTAACCTTACCTGTAAAAGCAATAATGCTTCAATAACGAGGCAACAACAGTATCTTTTTGAGTGATGTCGCCATTATACAGTGACATTACTCCTTGATCAGATGCCCAATCTCCTAATTCTTGGGAAACCTTCATGTATTCTTCTCCTGTACAACAGTTAGCAATCTATTCCAAACATTTAAAAAATTTACTATTATTGCATACTGTACACAGTCAGATAAGTTAATATTTTAGTTATCACTAGAGGGTTTAACCAGGTTCAACACTATTTCTACCCCTCCAGTTATACTCCTACACTTTTGGAGTCCTTGGGAGGTCGACTTCACCCACCAGAACAGGAACTACTAAATCTGGTAAAGCACTAAATAATATTGCAGGTGTATACAGCAGAAGCAGATCTAGAATTGGAGAAAGTAGGCTACTTTATTGGCAGTAAATATTTTTTATCCTCAGTCCCACCAAAGTGAATTCGAGCCCAAGACTTTAAGCTCATGAATTGCCATTCTTTACCTCTCCTACAGTACATGTGTTTCAAATCTTGTTGACAACTCAACTTAAAATAAATTGCAGCAATTATCATTTGGTTATAATGCAATGTAAACAATTTTTATTTTTATTTTATTCTTTTATAGCACAAAATAAAACAAATACAAACAGACCAAATAACAGCAAAGAAAGAGGGCTGAGGAGGGGCAAAAGCGGTACAAAACCACTGTCACCAGATATGGTGTGCCTCTCCAACTCCAATTTCAATAATATATTAAAATTAAATTTATCGATAATAAAATTTATTATTATGTAAAATAATAATAATAATAATAATGATAATATTAAGATAATAATAATAATAATAATAATAATAATAATAATAATAATAGCAAAGATAAAAATAATTTAAAAAAAAGAGAAAAAATTAAATTTAAATAATTATGAAGTACCGTACACAATAGAAAAAAGAAATCCATTTCTAAATTTAAAAGTGAGAAGAATCACTGACCTTCGATATCTTTAAGCGCACATCTATATCATTGACGATGCTGACATCTGAAAAGCCTGCAGATTTTATCCCGCACATCAGCTTGAAAAGCTCGGGGTGAAGTGTTGGTAAGCCTGGACCCCCATGTAACAGACTCCTGGCCACAAAACTCCCTGCCACCATATATTTCTTGTCTTCTAGGAGCTCTATATTGTGGGTAAAGGTCTGCAGTCCCTGCCCACCCTCCAATACCCCCATGCTTTCACTTACAGCCTTCATTAGAAGTCTACAACACAAATTCAGACATACAGTAATTAAATTTAATTCAGTAGGCATCCAATATTTACATTAATTCAACCATGAAACTGGCTGTGGAAAGCATTACAACTATAATAATGACATTAAAATAAATGAAAATAATAACATTTTTATTCTAGTTGCATTTTTTCACATACTTTTCAGTAGGATGACAGTTCCCACATAATTCCTTTTTGTACTTAAAACAAAAATTAAAATAAACATAATAGCACTCAATAAATTCAACTGAATGCATAGGAAAATGATGATACTAATGTTACGAAAGCATGAATAAGTGTCTCCAGCAGGAATCATTTTCGGGAGCTATAGTTGCAATAGTGTATGCCATTACATTATTGAAAGGTAATGATCTGGCATTCAAAGCAGACTGGGAAAGGCACGAAAGGAGGCAATGTTTTTGTATATATTATTAAACAGAACATATGTTATGTGGAATAATTTGACACACCTTGAGAAGTTGTTGTATTAATCATGGTATCATACACAATTGATTTAATAATACAAATACATACTAATAGATTATAAGACTAGCTGTATAACAAATGTTGTGTCTAATGAAAGACTTTATAATAATTGACATTCCATGTTATTAACAATTATATTGTTTATTTTGATTACTACTTCAATATTTTAAGTATTATTTTAAATTTAGTTTTTCAAACATTAGTTCAGTTACAGTACCTAAACATTTCCCGTTTTGGACCTCCAATGTCCACAGCCTCCTCTCCTGCAAACTCAACAATAACCGACTTGTGGCAGTCAAATCCTGGTTGACAATATGCATGCAAGATTGATCTGAGAAACCTTCGTCTGTGCACTATTACTGTTGTTTTCTCATCCTTGCTGATTTGTTGGTAATTCGTCAACAAATCTTTCAATGTGACTGTGTCTGAGGTAGCTCTTCATAAAGATAAAAAAACAATTTATTTCAGAGGTCTATCTAATTAAATGTAGAAAGGAAAGGAAAGTATTTATCAAGTTTAGCAGTATTTTGGCTAAAAAGGATTCGACACAAATGTGATTCGTTTTTACTAAGAGCCATATAAGCACTGCTCACCTTTGAGATATATTTATTATAATATAAAATTAAATTAATTTGAGTACAAATAAGTATCACGGCACCTAATGGAGATTAAATGATATTATATCCGAGATTTGGTTTATGCAAAACCATGTACCACCCGGACATTTAGTATTACCGGTACATTTTTTTTCATTGAACATCAGGCAAATTACTGACAGTCCTATCTGGTAAAAAACCACAGATTATGAAATGAACAACGCTCTCTTGAAGGACTGCACTGAAGCCTCTAATTCAAGCATTTATGGTAATCATATACAACAATCAATTGATCAATCAATCAAATGTGTTTCACCAAATGCATTGAGACCTTTCTATAAAACAAAGGAGGAGATATTCACATAGTGACACTGGCATATATCATCTTGTGTAAATTCAAAATACAAAACAATTTTTACAAACCCAGGTTGCTTGAATTCCAGGCTTTCACTTATTGCCCTCATTAAGTCTGTATCATCATCTTCTGATTCTAATTCATGTAATTCGACATATGCATTGTATGCAGCATTCGACCCTGTTAATGGTCTCATGGGAACCTTTATTTTTAGATACAGAATTTTTTGTTATATAATTGTTTCATAAATAACTGAATATCTGATTTGTAATTTAAACACACAAAAAAAAGAAAATACAAACTTTTTAAATGTTGTAATTGAGTTTAAGTAAATTGTAGATTGTTTTTTTTTTTTATAATAATATGAATACAGTACATTGAAACTGTTTAAACTAATTTTTGACATGTACAATGTATAGTACCCTATAAATCAGGGGTCCGAGGTCCCTAATGAGAGGCCGGGCTTCCCTCAAAAGTGTTCTGAAGCCCCCCACCCAACCCCAAAAAATTGACAGTCTGGGGTTTCATAGGCCTATCTAATTGATTTTGCTGCTAGGTAGAAAATACATAGCCTACCGTAAACGCTCGAATAAGCACCGCTCTCGAATAAAGGCTGCTCTCAAATAAGCGCCGCACCAAACGTGACTTTTTCGTTAAGCGCCGCTCTCCAAAAAGCGCCGCGGCCCTTAATCGAGAGTACGGTATATATTACCCTGTGCGTAAGGGGTTTTAAATACAATGTATACAGTAACATGAATAAATAACACAATGAAGACAACTGAGCATTTCTTTATAAACGTTTATTACGATGGTATAGGACCTATGATAGGCCTAAAGAACTACAGGAATACATGAAATAGGTACATTGAAAGTGCCACGCCAATATTTTTTAATAAGCGTCGCTCCCGAATAGGCGCCGCTCTCGAATAAGCTCAGCACTGAAGCCTACAAATATTTTATAAGCCCCGCGGCGCTTATTCAAGCATTTACGGTCCATATATTTTTTTTCCCTTCCCCATGAATTGTGGTTTTTCTTCCAGACAGATGCCACCCTTAGCTGCATATTGATTGACTAAGTAAATAATTTTAATTATTGTCAGTTATAATGCATATGAAACTTTTCTGTGAACTTTTATAAATCGGATAATACTTTCATGTTATTGCATAATATGTTGAGCCTTTTTAGGGTCATTATTGTCATATTGTTATAGTGTTTGCTTTTAGCCATTCCGACCCTCATACATTGTGTACCTAGTGTCAGTGGTAGTGGTACGATTTACGATATGGAGCCAGAGAGAGGTGAACAGGGCGTTATAGGAGGGGGTGAGTAGTTACCACTACCACTGACATTAGTTACATATATGTATGAGGGTCGGAATGGCTAAAAGCAAACTCTATAACAATATTTTATAAATTGTAGTGTAGATATTGTTTGAAGTTTATTGTACAGTACTGTAACATTAAACGGATATTTATAACCAGTTACACATTTGTCTTGTGAGTAATGCTCTATGTGTATGCTGTTTTGTGCATAAAAATGTTGTAAATGCTGTAAACATGTCTCAACGATTATTATAGTTCAGTTTTGGACCAAAATTGCATCAAAATAATTGTAATAATCAATATTTACGTCATCCTGCTGTTCTGGTGCAGTCGTTGGCAAACTGGAACTACTGCTGGATAAGAGAGTAGTGTTATGTGGTTTATATAACACAGAGCATTAAATATTTAAAACTTTAAGAAAATATTTAAGTAATTATTTAGTTCAAATTAAGCAAAAACAGTCATCAACCAAATTAGGTATTGGAATAGTGAAAAATAAGGCACTGGAGTATAAAAAGAGTATAAATTTCTGTTTATAACACCATCATTTCCTTTAGGGGAAGAAACAATAATTTTAAAAAAATAAGAATTATGCTGTGTACATAAAAAGAAGCAATTATATTTAATTATTAATATAATTGCATCAGTTTGTTTAATCATCATTTATACTGTATTGAAATAAATGCCCTAGATCATGTAGAAAGAGGTTCTAAAGAGAAGTCCTGATCATTCTATACAGATTTAACTAAAGCTTGGATAAAAAAAAATGAAATAAGCATTCTACAATATGACATTATGAAAACTACATGGAATAATAGATGACGCACTCATTAAGATGGCTCTCTGAACTACTGCAACTTGTAGAGGGAATACCAGACAAACTATAAGAAGCCAAAGGAGTTGACTGTGTCTGAAAAGATAATAAAAATGTGTACACATTTTGCCAAATAAATAAATTATTTTGATAGTGTAGTAACATTGTATTTAATCAACTTTACATTTAGAAGTATATTTCAAAACAAAGTGCCATTTCCAACAATGCATGGGACCCTATTAGAAAAAAAAATCTCATTAGGGACTAACTCGGTCAGAAACCATTGTTTGGCGAGCGATGCACTTCAAAATTATCCTTATCCTGACTTATGAATTTACATTATGTATTAAAAGTGAGGGGAACAACCCCCTTAAAAATATGTGGGGGACATGTCCCCTTTTCCACCCCCACCCACATGATGATCTGTGCCCATGGCATGGGATTCAAGCTTAGACCTCCAGACCAATAGCTTGGACAAAAATACTATAAATCAGAACTAGTATCAATCTAATAAGTTCTACTTACTTGCATATCATTAGATGCACGAGGCTTATGCGTCAAGTCTGCATCATACAGGTCATCAGTTCCATCCTAAATAAAATACAGTAGCATTAAACATTTATAGACTATGTCATACACCCCACCAGACATAATGTGTTATAAAAAAGCTGGTGTTTTTTTGTTTTTTTAACATCATTTATAATTAATTACAGCATTTTATGTTTCAAAAACATAAATAAAAAGTATACAATGTAATAAAAATGTGATTAAAACAGTTTGAATTTTCATCAATTTTTAAAATTATTTAACAGTGTTTAAACTTTCTAAAATATTCAATGTCCACTTCCTTCATGTACAACCCAAATTGCTTCCAAGGTCAGCTAACACACTTACCCTCTCAAATGGTCTGATAAGCCTAATAGCCCTATGTGATTTACTGTTTATACTTAAGTGTAAACCAATTAGGTTAAGTTTATGGAGCTGCTGACAGCTCCCTGGGGACCATCTGACAGGTTCCACTATGGACCATTTCTGTAACAGGAACTTTTGCCTCATACATGTAGTTTTATTCTACTGTATTTTTTGAGGGCAACCCATATTATGTATTTAATATATTTCAGATTGTGTAAATTTCATTGGATAAAATTAAATTCTTACTTCCTGTTCCATTGGTACAGTCAACGTTGATGGTGGACTTGGTCTAAATAAAATATATGTTCATAATCCATGAAAAGTATATTATTACTAACTAGAGATAACTATAAATACTTTGTTTTTATTTATTTATTTTATTATTTAAATCTTTTGACTGTAAACATTCAACTTTAATATATAGCAGAATTAAACAGACTTTTTCATCACTATAAATTCAATACAACAGTCCAATGCTGATGCATGAAACCACCAGCTGTAAATCAATTTTAGTGGAAATAATGTTGTGAAAAACAATTGTACAGTCTAGAAAAATATAAATTCCAACTAATTAAAAAGTGACATAATGCCTATGAATCCACTCATCATTGAAAGGCTGTAATGTTTCTTTACATTAAATTGAAGTAGCTGACTTTAAAATCACCTTTTAATATTATCAACAGTTATAACAATGAACTAAAAGCTCACCTGCTACAGCTTTCGATGTGTTTCTTCAAGATATTGAATGGGAATTCTTTTTGACACTTTGAACACTTTTGCATTAGCCCTGAGTCCACGTCTACACCACTCTAAAAAAAAATAATAATGTAAAAAATTAGTTTGTACGTAATTATAACTAGACGAAACTTAAAGATGGGTATGACATCATATTAAATTTACAAATAACTATAAAAATATACTCTATACAACCAAGTCAAAAAAAAAAGAAAAAAGAAAAAAAGTAACATGTAATAGTATAATAATATGTTACTAGGATAAACCATGGAGGAAGAATAATAACCAATAAGCCATATTAGTCTTAAAGTAATTGTGATAAATTTACTGTATATCTCTTTCTGAAATGTTGTTTTTTTTAACTGTGCAAATTATTTCAATGGAAAGCACAGTGGTAAAAAATGATTAAGTTTAAATTTATAAAAGATTTCTCATATTTAAAAAAGAATCAATATTCAATAAATACAGTACTACTTACATCCACTGGGTCCAAATTTAAGCTGTTTTGTATAGGCCGTATATAAATACGGCCTTGGCCCAACCTGTCCTTTATGTTTTGTGGAGTATACTTCCCTCTTATGGTAACCAACTTCCTCTCACTTCCAATACATGTTAGCAACTCAAAACCTCCAGCATCTTGAAGCTTAGGGAAGTAGGTATATAGTACTTGACAGAACTGCTCCGGACTTATATTGATATCTGGTATAAATACCGTTTTCTCACCTAGCCCGACATCAATTAATAGCTGCTTTTCTTCTGACCTAGGGGTTGTATCAGCATCAGGTTTGGATAAGCAAACCATTTTCCTAGTCCAACTTTGGGCTTTCCCTTTTTTTTGGGGTATGGACTTTGTTTTGCAGGCATGAACCGGTGAAACACACAAGCTGTGAAACACAAAATAAAGTATTCTGTTAACAATCTCCTCACAGTGTTGATAAAGTACTCCATAATCAGTTCCAACACTGATACATTAATTTTGCTATTTATATTATTGTATAAAAACAACATTTAAAAGTGTTATTGTGGGGTCAGGGCAGTATTTGCAGATGGGATTCTTGAAAGTGATATTAGGAGTTTGAGACTCAGACTGCAGACCCTGTCTCTTATACACATCTTTCATTGTGAAGAGAACATTTTGTGAATAAAACCTATTAAAATTGAACCCTAAAAGTGGAAAAGACAGCCAAACCAGTCATTTGTCGCAAAAATGGATTTTTAGTTATTAATACAGGGTTAAACAGTAAAATGAGAGAATAATTGAAATCAGACATTTCCTGATAAAGTTACAAGCATTTAAACATAGAGCTGTTTAAAGAATGATATTTGAGAAATCA